ACGTACCCAGGACCAGTCTTGCCTGTGCATGCGGGGGAAAGAGTTCTTTGTCAAGCTGTAAAGCCATCCTAGCCTTCACAACAAACTCACCCCCTCCCACATTTTTATCTGAAATTCTTTTTGACTCAGACATAGCAGGGATTATTCATATGTGGAAGTCATTGGGTCTCTGGGAGAAAGAACCCACCTAGGGTAATTCCCTTTGGAGAAGAGGAAGCAACTCACTCACCTTTGCAAAACATTGTTGTTTTTTAAAAACTATTAAGTATATCAGAGGTGTGAATTGTAGTCATTTGCCAAAAACCCCCAACCCTCCTGTAATTAAGTTCAAACCATATTTCACACTTAGTGAAATTGCATTAGAATGTTACCGAAGGAGAGGAAGAAATACCCTCACGTGGTTGAGGAATGCCTATGGATGTGATGTCACTAATGCTACAAATTGTTCCACCTGCACTCTGCAGCCTTCCTGGGTGCCCGCTCCTCAGTTAAACTCCGGAGGGGGGCATTTGGAAGTGTCAGCAGCCAGGGAGGCTGCAGAGTATAGGGGAAATGTTTACTGGAAGGAAACACACACACACACACACACACACCAGGCTTAGCCAACAAGAAGAAGGAAAGCTGGAAAGTCTGCACCCACATACATTCCAAAGATATTCTTAAGTGCCCTGAGAAGGAGAGAGAAAAATGGAATCCTTTCTCTTAGGGGAAAAAAACACTTTCAAGAAATTGGAATGCAGTGGTACCTCGGGTTAAGAACTTAATTTGTTCTGGAGGTCTGTTCTTAACCTGAAACTGTTCTTAACCCGAGGTACCACTTTAGCTAATGGGGCCTCCCACTGCTGCTGCTGCGCCGCCACTGCGCAATTTCTGTTCTCATCCTGAAGCAAAGTTCTTAATCCGAGGTACTATTTCTGGGCTAGCAGAGTCTGTAACCTGAAGCGTCTGTAACCCGAGGAACCACTGTACAGTGGTACCTCGGGTTAAGTACTTAATTCGTTCCGGAGGTCCGATCTTAACCTGAAACTGTTCTTAACCTGAAGCACCACTTTAGCTAATGTGGCCTCCTGCTGCCACTGCATGATTTCTGTTCTCATCCTGAAGCACAGTTCTTAACCCGAGGTACCATTTCTGGGTTAGCGGAGTCTGTAACCTGAAGCGTATGTAACCCGAGGTACCACTGTACAAGTTTTGGCACAGTACCAGTGAAACATGGGTTTGTAGCCAAGGTAGCAGTAAGATGAAGCCACTTGGTGGTATGTTTGTTCTGCTGGTGAAATGTTTTTGCACAGCTTGCTGGCAATTTTGTTGCACAATAGATGATGGGATCTGCTGAGCAATGAATTTCCACTAGTGCAACTGCTGCTTTGGATTCCTCTGTTGTGCAGTGTGGAAGCTCTCCAGTTTGCCTACACATTAATTTTCACATTTTACTCTGGCCCTTTGGTTTGACCCTCTGGTGTTCCTGCTCCAAGTGCAGTAAGACTCTAGCCACAATGGTATGTGGGGTTTCCTGCTGGGGAAAATGGAGAACAATGTTCATCAGGCCACCTACAAAGAAGCTTGGCCATGCTGCTCTTTTGTAACACATGTCATCGTTGGAGGGCAGAAAGTCACCCTGGAAAAGTCAAAGAAGGACCAGCTGTTGGACTCAGCAACCTGTTTTTCTGCTCTCCCTTTGCAATTCTCCTGGACTTAATAAGCTCCGGCTGTTGCCTATTCATGACCAGCTGGTGTGGCCTGGTGGTTAGAATGTTAGACGCATTTTCAAAAAGGCATTTATTGCTATTGTGTAAAAGAACAGGGATGCGGGTGGCGCTGTGGGTTAAACCACACAGCCTAGGACTTGCCGATCAGAAGGTCGGCGGTTCAAATCCCCATGACGGGGTGAGCTCCTGTTGCTCGGTCCCTGCTCCTGTCAACCTAGCAGTTCGAAAGCACATCAAAGTGCAAGTAGATAAATAGGTACCACTCCAGTGGGAAGGTAAACAGCGTTTCCGTGCATTGCTCTGGTTCGCCAGAAGCGGCTTAGTCATGCTGGCCACATGAACCGGAAGCTGTACGCCAGCTCCCTCGGCCAATAAAGCGAGATGAGTGCCGCAACCCCAGAGTTGGTCATGACTGGAACTAATGGTCAAGGGTCCCTTTACCTAAAAGAACAGCATCACAGTATCACAGTGTATTAGGAACATAGGAAGCTGCTTTATATGGAAGCAGACCATCTAGCTAGTATTGTCTACACTGAACGGCAGCAGTTTTCCAGGGTTTCATGCAGGGGGTCTGTACCTTGAGGTGCCAGGGATTGAACCATGGGTCTTCTGCATGAGGCAGGTGCCCTACCATGAGTAAATCCTACCGAGTTCCATAGCTGCTACTACCTTGTTTATTCAAATGCATTTGCATATGGCTTTTCAAGAAGAAAAATCTTCCTAAATTGGTTTACATGTCACATGTGGAACACATTATAAAGTACAATGGAAGATTATACGAAAAGATGCCGCAAGAATCTCTAAAAAAACCTAGTTGTTTCAAAACATTACTAAAAGCCAGTGTAATTCAACATAACACAAAATTATCAAAATGAAGCAAAATACTGGTTCTGCAACTCTGGTCAAATTGCTGGCCCATTTTCTTTCCACATCACTGAGGCTGGGAGAACACAAAGTTCTCTGGTGGAGCAACTGTTTATATTTTCCCAGGCGTTGCCCTCCTGGGTGAACGTGTGGGCATAATGAAGCCAAAGAAATACGCCCAGTCTCTCTTTGAAATGGAATTATTTCGGACAGTGAATCCCCATCCATGGAATGTTTCCTAGTCATGGAATTCATTATCTTCATCCATTTTGCAAAGACCTTGTTTCCTGACAAACCGGAAAAGTCTAAACCAGTTCCTCTTAACACCAGAGCTTGCTGTTGGAGGCAGTACACTTCTGAATGCCAGTTTCTTGAAATCATAGGTGGGGAAAACCCTACTGCACTTGGGTCCATACGTATGGGCTTCCTGCAGACCATTGGCCATTGTAAGAACAGGATACTGGACTGGATGGGCCTTCGGTGTGATCCAGCAGAGCTCTCCTTATGAGTATTAAGGAGCCAGCTGCAAGTGTTTCATGGTCTCTACCCACAGTGTTTATTTGGGCATTGGCACTGAGTCTAAAAGAGGAAGCCAGCAAAGGTATGCGATGCCAAAGGGGTGCAGATATCTGGACTCCATCCAAGTTAAGGGAAATGCTGCTGCTAAAGAATGCTTTGATCTCCCCAATTTGCTCTAAAGTCCGTGCCAAGGCTGTGAGCTCATCCAGAACAGCCAGAGCCACACCTTGTCTCCCCTCCCCCTCCCCTAAAGCTTGAGGCTCATATGAGAGGAAAACATGGCTTGGTGGCACAACATGTCTCTCGCAGCTGCCTTTGTGAAATGTTATTGCTTGACGTGATTTTTTTCTTGTATTATAGAATACAGAACTAGTTGGTAAAACAAAGTGAATGTTGAAGGTGGATTAGAGAGTTATTACCCCCACCAAAATTGTGGAGGGAGCACCATTCATTATTATATAAAGACAATTGTTATGTTTAATTACAGTGGTACCTCAAGTTACATATGCTTCAGGTTACATACGCTTCAGGTTACAGACTCCACTAACCCAGAAATAGTGCTTCAGGTTAAGAACTTTGCTTCAGGATGAGGACAGAAATCGTGCTCCAGCAGCGCGGCAGCAGCAGGAGGCCCCATTAGCTAAAGTGGTCTTCAGGTTAAGAACAGTTTCAGATTAAGTACGGACCTCCGGAACGAATTAAGTACTTAACCTGAGGTACCACTGTAATATCTTCAGAGGGGACAGAGGGCCAGGTTGCAACTTGCAGATCTCTACAGCAAAAAGGAAACAACTAGGGATTTTTTTCTACGTATAAGCAAGTCAGGAAATCTGGAAGTTCCCACCATTGAAGCAAGTGGCTTCACTCCAGCTACATAGATCTCTTGTTGCATTCTCACCTATAGGGAACAGTAGTGTTTTTATCTTTTGCTTAACAAACCTTTTCTCTCCCTATAATTGCACTGCTCTGTAGCCTGTTTTATTATTTTGATTCTGCATTTTTTATTGATTCATAGCTCAAACTTGTGCATGATTGTTTTTTTTTTAAAAAATAATAAAGGCCTGCTGAGTTCAATGACCTTCAATCTTGGCTAGGTATCACAGACCACTGATGTATTATGAATTGAATAAAGTGAATAAATAAAATAAACAATGTGTCTGTGGCACACCGCCACCCCAAAAAAGAAAGATTTTTGCCACCAACACAGAGGATGCGAGAAGACATACAAGTGTTGCACAAAAAGTGTTGTGCATGCTACACGGTGACGTTAATTTAGATGCACATCTTTGTTGTTGTTGTTTAGTCGTTCAGTCGTGTCCGACTCTTCGTGACCCCATGGACCAGAGCACGCCAGGCACTCCTGTCTTCCACTGCCTCCCGCAGTTTGGTCAAACTCATGCTGGTAGCTTCGAGAACACTGTCCAACCATCTTGTCCTCTGTCGTCCCCTTCTCCTTGAGCCCTCCATCTTTCCCAGCATCAGGGTCTTTTCTAGGGAGTCTTCTCTTCTCATGAGGTGGCCAAAGTATTGGCGCCTCAGCTTCAGGATCTGTCCTTCCAGTGAGCACTCAGGGCTGATTTCCTTAAGAATGCATAGATTTGATCTTTTTGCAGTCCATGGGACTCTCGAGAGTCTCCTCCAGCATATGCACATCTAGAAATTTAATTTAAATCAGAAAAAGATCTCTCCCAAGTGGGGCGGATGCTGCGGGACCACCAAGTGCCATCAACCCCTGCCAGGATGGCCCAAGGTCAGGGATGCTGGGAGCAACATCTGGAGCGCGGCAGATTCCCGCGCCAACCTGCAAAATCCCAAACCCTTCCCCGTGTCTGCTCTGCCACCTGCTGGCTCTCGCCGCGCGCGGCAACCGGACCTATTGGGCGCATGCGCTTTCCCTCTTCGATTTTTGCCGGCCAACCGGCCTTCGCCTCCTCCCCCCGCCTCTCCTTTGAAGCCGGGCGATACCAACATCTGCCGCAGAGAGGGGGGTGGTACCCTCTGATAAGCTTGAGGGGAGGGAGCGAAATTCCCTTCGAGGAAACAAAATAACCCCGGGGTATGTTTTAATTTTTCCTCAGGGGAGAGAAACAAAACAAAAACCGGGTTGGAGGAGAGCCGAGTGGGGGAGCCGTCTCCCCCTCCAGAGGAGAGGACGTAGTTCAGTCCCCAAGATGGCGGCCACCATGAAGAAAGCGGTGAGTGAGCTGCTGAAGGGAGGCCGGGGAGGGAGAGGTTGTGGCGGCTACGGAGGCGCCTCCGGTTGTGGCCTTTGCCTTGTGAAGGGAGGCTGAGGGGGGCCAGGCGAGGCGGCGGGACCGGGAAGCCTCGGGACTCAGCCTCTCTCTCCCCCCAAAATAACGATCTTTGGCCCGAGGCCAAACAGAACCATAAAAGCTTAGAGTCGGAGGGGACACCCGGGGGTCATCTAGCCCAACCCCCTACGAGGCGGGAATCTCAGCTAAAGCATCCATGGCCACCCAACCTCTGCTTACAAACCTCCAAGGAAGGAGAGTCCGCCACCTCCTGAAGGAGACGGTTCCACTGCTGAGCAGCTCTTTCTACCAGAAAGTTTTGCCTGATGTTTGGGTCGGAATCTCCCTTTTTTGCAACCTGAAGCCATGGGTTCGAGTCCTACCCTCCGGAGCAGGAGGAAACAAGCCTGCTCCCGCCTCCCATGTGGCAGCCCTTGAGATATCTGAAGATGGGTATTTCCTCTCAGTCTCCTCTTTTTCAGGCTAAACATGCCAAGCTCCTTCAACCGTTCCTCATAAGGCTTGGTTTTTCAGGCTCTTTTTGCCCTCCTCTGCAATTTATTATTAAATTATTGATTGATTTAATTTATATACCACCCTGTACCTAGAGATCTCAGGGCGGTTCGCAGAATAAAATCAAAATATAAAACCACAAAATACACAATCAAAATAAAAACAACCCCCTCCCCCCAAAAAAAAAACACATTTCAAAAGGGCATAGGACCCTCACAACATTTAAATTAAGGCAGTTAACCGACCTGGACAGGAGCCACTAGTTGGAAACGTTCCAGCTTGTCAACATCTTTCTTAAATTGTGGTGCCCAGAATTGGACACAGTATTCCAAGTGTGGTCTGACCAAGGCAGAATAGAGTGGTTCTATTACTTCCCTTGATCGGGACGCTATACTTATATGCAGCCTAGAATAGCATTAGCTTTTTTTGCTGCTGCATCACACTATTGACTCATGTTAACCTTGTGGTCCATAAAGCCCCCTAGGTCTTTTTCACATGTACTGCTAGCACTCTAGCTGTTTCCCATCATATATTTGTGGAGCTGGTTCTTCCTGCCTTAGTACAGAACCTTACCTTTATCCATCTATCCAGATAATAAATGTTGCCAAACTTGCTTTAGCTAAATCTATTCTTTGGTACATACAAACAGATCCCGTTGTAAGACTCGCTGCCTCATCCTGTGCATTTTTCCTTGGAAGAAAGTCTCAATAAATGTAACAGGAATTGCTCTCAAGTTGGAGTGTACAAGCAGGCTGGTGGTCACCCTACAAAGAATCTGGTCTTTTGGACGTACCTGTTGAGTGTTGGGTGGTGTGTGTTTTGCACATTTGAAGGGCTTTCTGGAGGGGCACCTAGGTTAGTCTCTTGCTGCAAGAACAAAAGACTCAACACATTTATTATGGCATGCATTTATCAGATACATGAAGTGTCCTGAGTTGTGGGTTCATTTTGTGTGTTTGTGTGTGTGTTGGGATTTGGTGCGATCAGACAGACATGCAATGCAGAAAAGTATAGACCTTTCTAATTATATTATTAGCAATGACCATTCACAGTAAATAAGAGTTGAAAAGATGTATCCTTCCATTGGTAAGCCGATTAATACATGCAGTTAATACAGAGAAATCTGTCGTGTCAATTCAATCCACATGTGACAGCATTGAACATCTTGATTACTGTACAATTATGCAAAGGGCACTGAGGGAGAAAAATGCACACCCCCCATTATAAACTATAGGGCATTGTTTATTTTATCTATTTACTACGGTTGGATCCAGACAAAGTTAGTTTAACTTTGTCCCTTTTGAAATCCATGCAGCCTATCTTAGCCAAGACTAACTTTTCACATTTATTACTTGTGTCGGGTTCCAACGTTACATTCATCTCCAAGGCGCTCAAGGCAGTGTATGTGGTTCTCTCTCCCACAACAATACTGTTGAGAGACAGTGATTGACCCAAGGCCACCCAGTGAACTTTACGTTCAAGTGTGGATTTGAACTCGGGTCTCTCAGGACCTAGTACAACACAAGCCAGCATACTACACTGGCTCCTTTGTGATCTCAGGTGTTACCTATGGTCACTTTGTCTATGCTAATGTCCCAAGGTGTTTGTCTGCAAATGTCCTCATGCTCCTTGTTAATATGCTTTTGTTTCCTTCCTGGTCTTGCTTCTGTTGAGTTTTTGTAGCCAGCTGGTTTGAAATCCTTTGGAAAATAATGCTGGTAAAATGTGGATATGTTGACTAGCTAATCTAAAGCAGAAACTTTAATGGTGAGCACACTGTGTTCCATAATTGGATTGAAAACGCATATGATTGTCTTGTGTGTTATGTGTATTGAGCTCTCCCTGTTTCTGCTGGTCTTTTCCAGGCAGCAGAAGATGTCAATGTTACCTTCGAGGATCAACAGAAAATTAACAAGTTTGCAAGAAACACCAGCAGAATTACAGAACTGAAAGAAGAAATAGAGGATAAAAAGGTACCCTTACTATAAAGCCTCTGGATGGGAATCTGTTCACTGTATGAAATCCTTAGCACGCCCAGCGGTGTAGAAGGTCCCATTTAACTGAGTGGAACTTCCAGTGATATGAGGTGGGAAATGTTATATTTTTCCACACTTCTTTGGAAATGCATTGTTTTTATAACGTTGGTAGCAGAATGAATGGGCACAGTGCAAGTCAAACTGGGTAACTGAAAATCATACTAGTTAAATTAAAAAAATCAAAGTTGTGATTAATGTTTTTCTGGTGTTCACTAGGAAGCTCATATATTTATGGACACAACTCTTCAGGCATGCTAAAATTAGTAGGTTACAGTTTTTAGTATGTTACTAGTAGCTGGATGGGAGAGTTACTGATCTCTTGATCACAGAAACAGCTTCAGAACTTGCAAGATGCATGTGATGACCTCATGATGCTTGACGACGATTCACTACTGATACCTTATCAAATCGGAGATGTCTTCATTAGTCACCCACAGGAAGAAACAGAAGAGATGCTGGAGGAAGCAAAGGTTCGTGCTTATTCCTTGTGGATCTTCTGTGGGTCCTCTCAGTGATACAGCAAAAAATATTTGTGTGTGAAGCATCATTGAGTCTGGCAGATAAAAACCTGATAAGAGTCTTCTCTCTCTTTCCCTCTCTCTTCTCTTCTCTCTGTTCGTTACTATACTAAATAATATTAAATACTGTAGTATTAAACATTTCTGCTGTGTAGGTTTTCTGCATAGGACAGACACAGCATCCATATTAACAGGCCGGTTTGCCCCCATACTGCCCCACCAATGTAGCAAGATGGGGAGCTGCCTTATAGGAAGTTGGGCCTGGTGTCAGAAGCTGACATGCATACAGCTCAGTAGCACAGCATCAGTTTTGCATGCAGGTCCCAGATTCAGTCTCTGGCATCTTCAGGTAGGACTGGGAGAGAGCCCTGTCTGAATTGCTACCAGTCAGTATTGACAGCATAAAGGTAGATGGGTCAATGGTCTGTCATAGTGTATGGCAACTTCCTATGAAATGCCAGGGCTCATGTGCTCTGGAGGACCCTCTGGGCTGACACTGGTTGCCGGTGTCTCTTTTTTCTTTACCCATTTTCACTAGGGCAGTAGGCTGGTAGTGCTCAGTCTGGTGCTGTGAAGTGAAGCCACAAGCTGGGGCGAGGCTGCAGCAGCCTGCCATCTTCATTTCTCCAGTGATGCCTACCCATGCCACTGCTTGGTAAGGCTATCTGAAAGGCCCAGCAGGCAGATGCTGAGGTGGATGGGGCAGGGCCCCTCCAACCGGTTGCCAGCCCTGTTCCCTGGCACCTGATAAGCCATTTCCCCCAGTACTGATACTAGAGGTTGTGAGCCTAGTCGTCACTGAGGTGTTAAGCTGGCATCTTGAATTTATCACTCCACTGCAAAGGTGGAAGGGACATAGCTCCACATTAGAACATCTGTTTTGCATGCAAAAGGTCCCGGGTTCGTTCCCTGACATCTCCTGGTAAGGCTGGGAGAGGCAATATTTTCACATGGAAGATCATTATTGGGAGCCCCCATTTGCAGTTTAAAGTGGTACTGTTCATACACAGGTTTACCACCTTATGGAAAACTAGGTTTGCAGGATTTGGAAAAACTTAGTGGCCCTGAACTTCAGTGCTTAACACCTCAGTATGTATACCTTTCAGTGGGACATTGATACATTTGCCTTCTTATTTATCATTAATATATATGCTCCTGCTTTAAGTATAAAACTTGCTGGATTGGATCCAGAGTTAAGCATGCCTAATGATGCTGGTGGAAGCTGACTTTCCCCCACACACCCCGCCCCCCGGAGCCTCCTTATCTTTGAAAATACTCCACTGGGGCTGGGGGACCTGCTCATGGAGGTGGGCTGTGGTGCAGGAAGGTGAATTCCCCCAAATTTTGTGGAGGCTGGGGTTTGCCATGGGCCGGAGAGGATGGGGAAGGCAGCTTTTGCAGCCCCCAATTTGATTAACTCTGGATACAACCAGCTATGTTCTCCCCATCTTGAAAAACAGTTATAATTAGAATAGTGGTCAAAACTGGCTGACACTGATTTTCATGAAGCTCATCAGATTTCATTTAGGATCACTTGAAAAGCATCAGTCTTGGTCTTATAAACCATTGTTTATTAGATCAGTAATGCGTACCACGTTCTTCCCTTCTCCCTCCTGACTCGTGCCTTAATTTCAGACTCCTGGAGTTTTTTTAAGCCACAGTTTCCCATTCTATCCAACCTGATTCTGTTTTCCAAGCAGCTGCACAGATCTTTCTTCTGCTTTATTCTAAAAAGCTCTAGAGTCTATGCTCGGACAGATTAGGAAGCTTTTCCTCTGATTCTGATTTTTACAAAAATAAAAATATTCTAAACCCCTAAGCCTGATTAACGTGTTTCCAAAAAGCTTGTTTACAGTGTCTTGTCATTTATAATAGCTGGTCCTGTAGAAAATCTATAGATTTCTTCTGAGAACTGGATGTTAGGCAGTTGTGGTTTTTTATTATTTGTTTGGGGTTGTTACTTTTTCTTCTTTTTCTCAGAAAAACCTGCAGGAAGAAATTGGCGCTTTGGAGTCACGAGTAGAATCCATCCAGAGAGTATTATCAGACCTCAAAGTCCAGCTTTATGCAAAGTTCGGCAACAATATAAATCTTGAGGCAGATGATAATTAAATATTGTAGAAATAGTATTTTGTTTTTGTACTAATTATTCTGCTCTTGCAATAATGTTTTGAGAAGCCCCACATATTTGTTCGTTTTCAGGAAAAATGCATTCACTTGTCTGTTTCATGTATTTAAAGACGACATTCTTATTTTGCAAATGTATCATTATTTATATATGTTAAGTGAATAAATCCAAATTCCGCAGGTGCATTATCAAGGTTGGGTGCTTAAAGGCTTATTGAAATGATAATAAAAGTCAAACAAACTTATTGCGTCTTGTGCTTAAAATGTCCTTCCAAAAATAATGTAGTATAACAAGGGGATGGTGTGAAATCGCTCTGTAGACTCAATGAACAGTCTTCTTTCTGGCAATCATTATTTTCGAACACCTTCAATTTAATGGTAATGGGAATATAGAGGCAGAGGGACTGAGCTGTGACCCAGGAGGCAGGCAGCTCAAATGTCATCTTGCCTGTGAGCTTAGGATAAACTGATCTTAGGGTTTCGTTTACAATATGGGGCTCATAACACTGACGTACTACGCTGGTTGTGAAGACTGAGACAATGAAGTCCTATGGATACCTGGTTGCCACCAGAGAATAGCTTAGCACTTAGAATAAACACCCCTAAGTGCAATTTTTTCCATTAATAATTGCGCTGAATCTCCTGTATTCAATGTGTTAATTGCATTGCAACATCCAGCATTGGTGTTATAAAAATGTAGGGTCAAATAGTTCTTCCATATCACTTACTTTTACACCATGGCTATTGATTTACCAGGTGCCATTTAAAAATGGAAAAGCAAAGCCTCTACAGTCTTTAAGTAAAGCACAAGGGGCGGGGGGAACAGGGGATGGAGCAGTCTTTTTTCATGATGTTCAAAACCACATGTAAGGTGCCTAGCATAAGCGTAGAAAATCCCAGAACATTTGTATACGAGAAAAACATACCACTGAGAATCTTGTCTTCTGTGCCTTTGTGGCTAATGAAGCAAACTGCTATTATTGACTGTCCAGAAGATGGCACTAGAATGCCAGCTATCTCTAGGCAGAGAACAGGGCAAAGAGATTTCCCCAGAATAAATTGTCGTATTTGCCAAAGAACCACAAATTCATTTCAGCAGAAAGAGGGGCTTGGGTTAGATAAATTAATGGAGAGGTGGTCTGTCAATGGCTGTTACTCAAGAGGGTGATATGGAACCTTCATGTTCAGGAAGCCACTGACTACCTGCTTCTAGGGAGTGATAGCAGGAGAGCGTAATTTCCCTCATGTCTTCTTTGTGGATTTCCTGGAGTTAACCAGTTGGTCACTATGGGAAGCAGAATGCTTGACTTCAGTGCCACCAGCAGGGCTTTCCATATCTCTTGGATTCTAGCTCACCTCTGCAGCAGAGCATCACATACTTATCTTGTCCCTGCAACAGAAAGTGGTTCAGATTATTTCAGTCAGCTCCAAACCTGATTTTCAAAAGCCAAGAAGCAAATGGAAGAACAGAACAGAGTGCTATTTACTTCGTTAGCGTTCTTCAATAGGAAACATCCTGGCAGGCTCTGAGCTGCGTTGTGTGCCTTCAAACCATTCTGTCAGCTGAATCAGGATTGTAGAGTTGGAAGGGAGCCCTAGGGCTATCTAGTCCAATCCCCTGCAATGCAAGTATCTTTTTGCCCTTTGGGCTCAAACCCACTTCCCTGAGATTAAAGGTCTCATGCTCTACTGACTGAGCTATCAGACAGGAAATGAGACACTCATGTAGTAGGCTGTCCTTTCTCCAGGGAGCTCTCATTCCACCCACTCTTGCCTCCCAACAACCCGGTGATGAGTAGGTTTGGCTGAGAGGTAGTGTCTGACCCAAGGGTACTTTCTTGGCTGAGCTGGTGGTGCAGATAGGTAATTTTAGATCGTAGGCTTGATCTTCAGAAGGTACTTCAGAAGGTAAGCCAGCTCATGTGCTTGGGGACCCTTCTGCTTATTCTGCTGAGTGGGGCCCTGCACCACTAGGTTGAGACTTGGAACTCCAGTCTCCCCAGTTGAGGTTCAGCAATCTATTCGCTGTTGTGGCTGGCTCATATTAGTCCTTTGGACCACTAGGAAAGTGCAGAAACATTTGCTTACAGCCATCTTCTAGATGCCTCCTTGCACGTTTTTGACCTGGTCTTTACTGTCTCGGCAAGACAAGGATGGGCTGATCTTTCAGGATGGAAGAAGCAGCTTTGGCCGCTCTGACAGTGACCCAGTTTGTGCACGTAACCCTATGCCAAACTATGGTTCAGCACGAATGAGCAAATGTATTATGGCTTGCTGGAGAGAAGATTGTGGCTGTTTTGCTCCTCTTCCAATCTTGCTGCTGCCATGCTGCTGTGAGCTAAGTCATGGTTCGGCTTAGTGATACATCTGATCCTTTGCTCATGGTTTATCTCATGAGCTGTAGCTAAGGTTTGTTTCACCGCCAACAGATTTTAAATGTTTTCAATATGGTTTGTTTGTAATTGTACTTTGTATCATGTACCGTATTTTTCGCTCCATAAGGCGCACTGGACCATAAGGCGCACCTAGTTTTTAGAGGGGGAAATCAAGAAGAACCCCCCCCCGCCCAGCCCCAAAGAGCAGCGGACAGGCGGGGAGCGGCTGCACGCGGCTATGGCACAATCCAAGACAGCCAGCGGGATGGATCCCGCTCGCTGTCTTGGCTTCCTCTTTAGCCACGCAACCTCTCCGGCTGGGAGAGGCTGCGCACAACTATGGCAATTCCCCCACCTCCCGCAAAAGCCCACAGGAGCCGTGCACCCTTTAAGGAGCGCGCAGCTCCTGCAGGCTTTTCTACGAGGAGTGAGAAGGGACTGACGCGGCCGTGGAGCTTGTGTGCGGCTCTTGGGGGCTTTTCCTGCCTGCCTCCCCCCTGCGTTCGCTCCATAAGACACACACACCTTTCCCCTTACTTTTTAGGAGGGAAAAGTGTGTCTTATGGAGCGAAAAATATGGTAAGTGTTTGTCACCCTTTTCTCCTTTGAGAAAAATAAAAGTGAAACACCACTTTGTGCTCTGATCAAATTCGCCCCCTCCTCCTGTGGCTATTTTTAACCAAAGAAATTTGTTGAGAGATCTTATCATGCCACATGTAGTTTGGACTTCATTATGTGTATATGAGTTCATATCTCGAAATAGTTCAGGTAACTTATTGTTCTCCTCGTGTGCGTGTGTGCGCGCGCTTGTAGTTCACCCACTTGCAGAAGCAAGAAGTCAGTAACCAGCAGAGAGCTTTTCTTTAATCATTGAACAACACAACATAATTGTCTTTGGAAACACCAGGGCAATAAGCTGGTGCCCAAGAAGGCTTATTAAGCGCCACATGCAAAGGCAATGCTTGAAAAGTGGTGGACAAAGACAGCAGGCTCAATATTGGCCTGTTTTAAAATTAGCACTCGGGGGTAAACTAATAAGATGTGCACTTTGATTCTGGGTTGTGTTGCTTCAATCTCTGCTGCCCAATAACACAATTAAAAGTTTTGTACGGAAGGGAGAAACTTTGGACGTATGTTTTCAAAAGGCAGAAACATTCAGTGGGTACAAAGGCCTGCTTCACACATGCTTCAGAATCTCTTGGGTACACTAGACACTAGATTACCGGCCCCAGATGAATGTGTGAACGCAGAGCCGAACACAGTCTTTAACTGCATAGCTAGCAATTCTGTCCTGAGTTATCCTCCGGAGCGATTTTTGAACCAGCCAAGAGAAAGCACTGCTTTACACAGTGCATGATTAAAAACAATGGGATTTGCTACCCTAAGTGGTGGTGATGGTCACCAATGGCTTTAAAATGGGATTAGACAAATACATGGAAGATAATGGTCTCAATGGCAGCTAGTCATGATAGATAGGTGGGACCTCCAGCACACCAGTCATTGGGACTGGAGAAGGCTGTTTCACTCATGCCTTACCTGTGAGATTCCCATAGGTATATGCTGAACATGCATTTCTTTATCCTGGCCTTTGACGCCCAAGACATAGCTGACTAATCTGTCTGTCTGTCTATCATCTTGGTATCTACCCCATTCAAATTGTAAGTTGTTTTAACTGATTTTCATTTTAAAAAAAGCAAATGTAACCAAAAGAAACAGTGTCAGCTTACATTAACAATAAAGCTAACCCATCAACCCTGACCTAAGGGTATAAATTAATATAAGCACTCCATAGGTCCAAACAGATATTGATATGAGATGGACACTCATAAGATACACATCTGAACATAGAAAGGAGCAAGATCTTCAGAGTACTGAGAAGCAAAGGTGGGTATTTATCCTTCCAACCTTGAGGTATAAGTTTCTTTGCAAAGGCTTGCAGGATCTATTTCAGTTGTCCTTCGGATTTAATTGATTTTAATATTGTATGTTTATATTGTTAATCTGCCCTGGGACCTTATGGTGAAGGGCAGGTAAGAAATCCAACTGATCGTCATCGTCGTCATAATCTAGTTGGCCACTCTGGGAAACCGAAAGGTGGTCTAGATAAGGCTTTGGTCTAATTCAGCAGGGGCTGTTACCTTCTTATAGCTCTCCTCACCATTTCAGTTCTTGCAGGAGGGTGTGGCTCCAATGCCCGGCATGGCTCTCTTTTTTAAGTAGGAGAGCTAATTGTGCAAAATCATCAAACAGATGTAAATAGGTGTCCTGATGTCATCCGGAGTCCAACACTAGCGACTGAAGCTAAATTTATGCTCCTGACATAAAGGGACATCCAATTTGTGCATGTTGATTAGATGTTTGTCACTTCAGACAGAATGCTTGGAAAATTAGGCAGCAAGGAAGCTTTTAGCCAGTGGCAATGATGAATTTATTAGGGACATGGGTGGCGCTGTGGTCTAAACTACTGAGCTGATCGGAAGGTTGGCGGTTCGAATCCCCGCGACGGGGTGAGCTCCCATTGCTCGGTCCCAGCTCTTGCCAACCTAGCAGTTCGAAAGCACGTCAAGTGCAAGTAGATAAATAGGTACTGCTCCAGCAGGAAGGTAAACGGCATTTCTGTGTGCGGCTCTGGTTTCTCCAGAAGTGGCTTAGTCATGCTGGCCACATGACCCGGAAAAACTGTCTGTGGACAAATGTCAGCTCCCTCAGCCAGTAAAGCGAGATGAGCACTGCAACCCCAGAGTCGTTCGCGACTGGACTTAACTGTCAGGGGTCCTTTACCTTTTAAAAGAAGAAGAAGAAGAAGAAGAAGAAGAAGAAGAAGAAGAGGAGGAGGAGGAGGAGTTTGGATTTGATATCCCGCCTTTCACTCCCTTTAAGGAGTCTCAAAGCGGCTAACATTCTCCTTTCCCTTCCTCCCCCACAACAAACACTCTGTGAGGTGAGTGGGGCTGAGAGACTTCAAAGAAGTGTGACTGGCCCAAGGTCACCCAGCAGCTGCATGTGGAGGAGCGGAGACATGAACCCGGTTCCCCAGATTACGAGTCTACCGCTCTTAACCACTACACCACACTGGCTCTCTCTCAATAATGATGAATTTAAGGTGGCTGTGAGCAGTTGTGGGGTGTTCTCTCTCTCTCTTTTTAAACTACATGCAATGGCTTGGCATACCGCCTGAAAAAGGGGACCGTGCAAGTCTTAAAATAGTGCGCCAAGTAGATGCAAACTGCCACTGGATGATGGACATCTCCTTCCAATGCATGCAAAATTGGTGCTAAGCACTGCTAACAGCTGCTTGATCTCAACGTAATAATAAATTAAGAGAGAGTTGTGCTAACAAGCAGCAACATCATATATTTATCTGTCTGTGGATTCCGGATCTTTTAATTTGGCACATTTGGAAGAACACAGCCAAGAAATAAAATGAAAAATAAAGCTGTTTCATTGGTCCCTGGGACCACCCCATTTCACTGAAATATGGAAAATCTCATAGTAACTAGCTGTGCCATCAAGCATTTGGAATCAGAAGCCTGGAATATATTGTCATTCAATTTTTGCAGTTGGAAGCACAGACTCTCTCTCTCTCTCTCTCTCTCTCTCCCTGTGTTTGGAAAAGGCTTGTCTGTGGCTTGTGGCACATTTACCCTTGGTGAAGTGTGTGGGTTTTTTTTTTTTTTGCTTTGCCACTGAGTAAAAATAATTATGAAATGGTTTTGTTGAGTAAAAACACCAAATCCACTGCAACTGCATGACCTGAATTTGCTGGTATACAGTTGACTCTCACATGCAACATTCCAACAGTGAAGAATAGGGATGGATAAATCTCTCGGTTTCAGTTTTCTCCTTTTCCCAGCCTTATATTCCAGATTTTCATGTTTCTGCAGCAATTTGCACTATTGCTGTTGGTTGCTTTTTTTAATCCTCATGAAAGTTCTCCAGCATTTTAGTGCAAATTTCTCCTAACACATTTCTACGTGCAGTTTGGACAAAGTATACCCATTTTTGCAAGCTGATTCCCCGAGTATAATGCATGTTTGCCATTTTCCTTAATGTATGCATTTCTGTACACACGTGCATTTTTGTACACTCTATTTGGGTGGAGAGCTGCACTGCAAATCTTGGAGGAGTGTGAATTTTGATGGCTGGCTGTGTTTCGGTTTGCATATTATTCCGGAAATTGTGACTTGGGTAGATTCTTCTTCAGATGCGCACCAAATCCAATTTCTCCCCCACCCTTAGTTCTGAAGCTGCCCAGTGTTCTGACACCATTTCACTGTGTGTCCCCCTGCCCTGGCATGGCAGTCAGTTACGTACCACAGGAGCACACAGCATAAGGAGATAACAACAACAACAATTGATTACATATACCTTGCCCATCTGGCTGGCCTCCCCAGCCACTCTGGGTGGCTCCCAACAGAATATTAAAAACATGATAAAACATCAAACATTAAAAGCTTCCCTAAACATGACTGCCTTCAGGTGTTTTCTAAAATCAGGTAGTTGTTTATTTTCTTGACATCTGATGGGAGGGCGTTCCACAGCGCGGGCGCCACTACCGAGAAGGCCCTCTGCCTGGTTCCCTGTAACCTCACTTCTCGCAGTGCGAAAACTGCCAGAAGCCCCTTGGCACCGGACCTCAGTGTCTGGGCTGAATGATGGTGGTGGAGACGCTCCTTCAGGTATACTGGGCCAAGGCCATTTAGGGCTTGAAAGGTCAGCACCAAAACTTTGAATTGTGCTTGGAAACATACTGGCAGCCAATGAAGATCTTTCAGGACAGGTGTTATATTGTCTCGGCAGAAATGAGGTAAGCTGCAGTACACATTCGAGTGGCGAGAGAAAGAATTCATCCTGCAGGGCTGCTATGTTGAGTGGCAACCCCATAACAGCTCTTCCCCAGATCCTGGCCCAGATCCAAGGCAAAATGAAGCATCTCCAACTCTAGCGAAACAAAAGGGATGGAGGAGGCATGCTTTGTTCGGCACTCGACAGGGGCCACTAAAGGTTATTCCTACCTTCAGGGGACCGGCTTTGCAAAACGACAAGCCGTTTCATTAGCGCATCTCGATCCGACGGACACAGATGAAGGAGAGCTTCCTTGCTTAAAGCCTTCTATCAGAACTCGATAAATAATTCATGGGGCACAGTTTACCGGGTACATTTGGAGTCACAAATTGGCTGTGAGAAAACAAGCGTGATTTTTCTCCGGTGGGTTAATTATTCAGGATGAGTGGCGAAATTGCCCCCTTGTTCCTTCCTGTCTGATTCTCCTTGCAAATATCCAATATTTGGGTTGTGTTTAGATGTTACATGGCACACTGCTTCAGATGCTATTGATCAGTTCCCCCCCGATTAGGGGAGCGTCCCTCATAGAGTAAAGTCCGGGAGCGAATGTTCATGATTTCTCATCTGAAATTCAATTTGTGTTGGTCATCAGCAATGCTTGCTTTCAAGGCTTTCCCTTTTAGGAAATAACTAAATCTGTAGACTATTGGGGGGGGGTTCTCAAAATGCCACTCATCCATGGAGCTATGAATAGGGTTTTTTTAAAACCTCTAAGGGAACCTGGAGGTCATCCAGCTGAGAGACTGGCTTCATGTAGGATGCAACTATGGCATCCCTGACAGATGGCCATTCATCCTCTGCTTAAATACCTCCAGCCACACCTGGTTAGCAGTAGTAGAGCAGCACAGGAACTGGCCAAAGGCAAGGTACTCAGAAGGGCTCCTCACCAGCTTGAGCCCAACTTTGCTGTGCTGCCCACTCTCCTCCCTGCTACCTCTCAAATCTCTCAGAAGCCAGAGATGCACTTCACTCATTCAATGAATGCTTATAGGAGAAGCATACCATCAGAGACCACGAAACACAGAGGACTCTGTAAGGCAGAACTTCCATAAACATAATTTTATTGTGCTTTTATCAGATTGCTTTTTACAGCCATGGCTTTCCCCCAGGGCTGTCTTAAGCATATGCAGTGCCAGGGTGTGAAGATTTGCCCGGCGCCCCCCGGCTGCCCAGTCCCTGGTGCGCAGGAGGGTGGAACCGGCTGGCTGCCTCAGCGTTTTGCTGGCTCGGTCGCCCCCAAACTTGCAGCGCAGAGCCGCCTGTAGCAGAAGACCAATGGGCGGGCTCTTCCCTGGACTTAAATCTCAGGCCCCGGACTCTTGGCCTGGCACCCCTGAGAGCCCGGCACCCGGGTGCCCCGCACCCCTAGCACCTATGGGTAAGACGGCCCTGCTTTCCCCAAAGAATTCTGGGAGCTGTAGTTTGTTAAGGGTGCTGAAAGTTGCCAGGAGGCCCCTATGCTCCACCTCCTGGAGCTACAATTCCCTGGGTGGTTTAACAACCAATTCCTCTTCACAGGGAACTCTGGGATTTGTAAGGAATAGTAATAGTCTTCTCTCACTTTGTTCCTCATTGAGTGATTCGCGGAGGTAATATGACTAGTAGCCATTGATACCTTTATTCTCCATAGTCAGAGGTAGTAATGCTTCTGAAAATCTCAGGAGGGGAGAGTGTTGTGGCGTTCAGGATGTTCTTGTGTGTTTTCTGCAGGCATCTGGTTGGCCACTGTAAGAACAGGATGCTGGAATGAATGGACCACTGGCCTTGACCCATGTTCTTATGCTTAGTTCCCACTCAAAGCAATTTAATTTGATGGTGTCACTATATGCCACATGGAAAATTACTTCCTTTCATCTGCCCTGAATCTCCTGACATTTAGCTTCATTTCCGAGAGGGAGAAAAACACGTCTCTATCTACTTTCTCTGCACCATCCCACGGTATTAAGCATCTCTGGGCTACAGAACATGCCTAGATTTGGTCACAGTAGCCCACATCCTCAGTCTGACCTGGACAGTCGATTTGGCGAGAAGACTCGAATCATTTCCATTCCCAGCCCCATTTTATTCCTGCTTCAATTTGTTCCTTGGGACAGGAGAAACAAATGATTAGACAGGAACAACATAGTTATTATTCCGCTGAAACGGCAGCAACACTGAGAGTGCAAGATGACATGAAGTCCATGGAAATTAGATATAATCATATTCTCTGCTCGATTTGTTTCCCTCTCTGGGGTTATTTTTAGTCTTGTTTACTTTAATTGTGTGGATGTCTGAAAGCCTATCTTGTTCCATGTTGCGCAGTGCATAATAGTGGTTCCTTCTGTGTCTGCCATGCAGTCATTTTGTTTCCAGCCTTCTCTGTGCAGATTTTGCATACACAATGCCATGCTGAGCACAAGATGCCCTTTGCATCTCCGTCTTTCATTATAAGATCCACTTTTCGAAAAGGAGTAGGAGGTTCAAGGTCTTTCCAGCCATTGGCCTTGCTACATTCAGCAACAAGGACTTGCAAGTACCGTATGTTTGTCTCACTGTGGATACAAGTCTTCTTGAAGCCAGGGGCCCTGTGAGGTCCTGACTCTGAGAAGGTTTGTAAGCATCATCAGACAAACATCCTTACATGAAGTAGTGGCAGTTTTTGCTGTGCCTGCACCATCCCAAGCTCCCTGCTGCCTTGGACCTCTCAGTAGCTAGCAGTGGTACATGGCATGAGGAAGCCAGGTCAGCAACACAGGCCTACCTGTGCTGCTGAACCAGCTGCTACTTGCTTACAGGTCCCCTGAAGACCTTGAGATGCTGGTCAAGAGAGGACGAGACATGTGCCTCCCACATGCTTATAATCTACAGAAACTCGCAAGGGCTATAGATAAATTTGAAAAGACTCATCTCTATTGTGCATCGGTTACACTGAGAGACCTAGTGTGATGGTTCAGAATGTGCA